ACACAGTTAAATTTTATAGAAAAAACGCAAGGGGGGAAATGGAAAGTGGCCGTTTGTACAGGTGGCCGTCAGGGCAGGTTCGACTGTATTTGGATTACCCGAAATATGGCTTTTTCGAACTAAAAAAATGACGCGTTTGAGTTATCCGTGGCTGACTGTAAATAGCACTGTCAGTATGGTGAAACATGCTGAAATAAACTGTCAGACAACAAACAGCACATTACAGCTTTGTTTTTCCTGTCTTACTGACTTGAGCCTTAGATTTGCTATTTTGCGATGCACAATGATGGCTCAGTGCAATGCATTATTTAATTTAAACAAATTTTTTTTTTTTCTTTCCACAATGCTTTAGAATTATGACAACTGCTGATTCAGACCTAGAACTTGTGTCAAATAATGAAACTGAAGCAGAAGGCGTGTCTTATGTTGTCCCGACATCTAAATTACACAGTTTTCTTTTTGTGAATTTTTAGGCATATTGGCTTTTTTTTTGTTTGTCTGTGATGATGTGATGAGGCGTTATTCTTTTTCTTCATTTTGGACTTTTCTTCTTTTTTCCAATGTCTCAAAACCATTTCCAGCATTGTATTCCAATATGATGGTATGTCAAAAGTACTGTTATGAAATGTTTATTTTTGCCAAGTCTCATGGCTTTTTTTTTAGAGTAGGCCTAATTTAAACTAATTACTACTTGTAAGTTGATTTTTTCCCCAAAACGTGATAAATCCTTATAATCCTAAAGCACTTATTACAACACTCACAGAATTAAAATCTTGGGGTTTTTTGGGGGTTTTTTTTTTGGGGGGGGGGTGAGAAATACATGGTATGGCTTGTGATTATACTATGATTATGATGAAGACTTCAAGAATGTTGAAAAAAACCAACAATCTATTTAATTTGTGCATATATTCTTTCTTTCTTATTTCCTTTGCATCTGAATGAAATTCCTTTGTTTCTTTTCTGAGCTGATTACATTTTTGAAATTGAAATGTATTAACTTTTAGTAATGCTCAACACAGTCATTTTTCTTTGTTTTTTAATAAGGTTCTTTTGTTTCTTTAATTTCAGATACAAAAAAGAAAATGGAGGGAAAGAGCGAAGAAGAGGACGCACACGTAAACATAGATCAAGGTAAGATATCAAATAAGCTCGTTATTAAAGAAAGTTGGGCTTTAGGGAACTTGATAGTGACTAATTATTTAAGTGTCGCTAGATTTCAGTGGTGGGGACGGTCGTGTTTTAAAAAAGCACACTACCATGGGTTTTTATGCATATATATTATGTCTGGTTTTTGTTTGAGAGAGGCTTTCATCTTAAACTCTTCCCTTACACGCTTGCTGTTCTTTGACATGTAAAATGCCAAAACGAGCATAACATGCCCTCAGGGTCTGGAGCTTCATGTTGATATCTAGGTCCTGGATATCTCAAGTTGTATTGTGTTAAATATCTCAGAAATTAGTTTATCAATCCTGTGAACTCGAAATAGGAAGTGAGTAGGGCAGGGTACTGTAGCATGAGAGGCAGTGACTTTATCCCTAGGCTTTTGAGTTCATGCATGTGACATGAACTTTGACTCTTTCTCTAGGAGGGGGGTAAACCCACCATGCCGATGCCTTCTTTTGGTGAAAAATTTAAAATCCAAACATATTTACATAGCTAAATTAGTCACTTAATCCAAACAAGTGAACCTATTTCTTCTTCCACTGAATGAAATCCCGGTAAATGGGACCTGTTTTTGGCAGTTGCCGAAAAGTAATTTGATGTCAAAGTTGACAAAAAGGAATGTGACCGAGCCACTGTCTGCTTTGAGTGGCTTGCTGGAGGTAAGTTTTTTTCTTCTTATTTAGCAACCTAAAAAAAGTGTTTTTTATTTCATCACATGCTATTCTTTTATTACTGATTAGGTTCAAAGCTCAACCTTTGCCTTATCTACCCCTCAGTTGTCTCCGGCCAGCAAGCCCCCAGCACCAGTGCCCCTGCAGAGCAGCCTGGCCTGAGACGAACGGCTGAGCTCAAGTACCTGTACGGAACAGATGCACCCATGATTCATGGCATGGAGACGGCCTTGCAGTTGACTTTTGACCGCGTCTCAGACAAGTGCCAGCCCAAATTGTGGCCAAACATGCCATTGAAAATTAATTTTGCGTAAAAATGCTTTTCATCGCCTTTTCCTGGCCTTTGAACTTACAATTCTCTAGCCTGTTGTTAATACTGATGACCTGAAAAAAAAAAAGAAAGCAGATTGAACTACAAATCATCTGCTTTTGATCTTTTTCACGTATAATATTAACGTGTAAATGTGATTTCTATTCCTACATCTTTGCTGTCAAACAATAAATGTCCTAGAGTCCTAGTTAAAGAGCACTGAAAACTTTGTGAAGCAATCTAGTTAGGTTTGATGTTCAAGCGGTTGGGTCGAAGGTTTGTAAATACGTTTACAGCACAAGTGAATGATATAATGTTAATGATGTGATTCAATCACTTTTTGATGAACGTCTAGAACTTAAAAATCATGAAATTTTTGGTTCAGATGTTCTTTACCTTAAGTTTAAAAATCAGACTTTATTAATAAACCTCTCATGACCATAAGAATGATATTTTAGTGATAACATAAGAAAGACTAAATGCTGTGTCTACTGCCTGTGTGTCTGAGATGGGCATTTTCGAGAATTTTTTTTTTAGGGGGGGGGGGGTTTCCATTTTTTGCTGGAAAGATCTTTACAGCATTTGTATGTGTAGCTGACTGTACTGTCCTTGTTGACCCCATGATGTGTGTGTAGCTTTTCACCGTAAAAAAAAAAATTAAATTGCAGTGGAAAGTAGTCCACAATGATTTGAAAAATCAGGATTTGTATTTTTAGGCATAGTCCCATCCTTTCTGTTTTACATGAAATGTATGCAGCATAAAGGAACCGTGGAAAGGTGAGAAGTGCTTACCCAAAAGAGAAGTTAATATTCAGATTGACTCAGGGAATGTAGTTAAGACTTCCAAATCCAATCAAAGGCTCTTGATTGCATCTTGTGTTTGTACCTAGAGGGTCTTGATGACCTTATTGGTGTTCTTTTTTCTTTACTTGTGTCTAGTTGATTGTGTAATGAAAATTTTTCATGCTAATACCAGTTTATGATTGGCTGCATTATTACAATGTACTGGTTTTGTTTGTGGTCTTGCTGGTTTCTGATCGGTTGTATGTTGTAAAATCAGTTTATCCGCATAGACCTGATGTTTGTAACAAATGGGAGACATGGATATTTATTGTTCTGAACAACAGCAAACAGCTGTGTGGTGCTTCCAATTTCCCTGACCCCTTTATCAGTTGTTTGTCAGTATTGTCATTAATAAAGAATGTCAACTGCTCAAAGTCAAAGGATCTGCTGTGTGATTTGTGTTTGAAAGATGTGAGGCAGCATGGTGAAATCAGGCGCATGTCAAAATACAGAAATTGGTGAAGGAGACATTTTTCCGAGAGTTTGGAAATTTTTATCAAATTTTTATTTTTGGGCTCAACCTCTTTACTTTTACGTTCATATAAAAACACATTTCAAAATTTCAATGCAATTTTTCTCAAAAGCGCTGATTAAAGGCACAAAAATATGGACATTTTCAGTTTTCAAGAACTCAAGCTATTGGAGTTACCAAATTTCGGTGGCCATTTTCTCACTAATTTAATTTCATTTAAACTGGGAAACCATGTGACCCCAACCTTCTTCAATAGCAAAAATTTTGACTTCTATGCAAGATAGATGGGTACTTTTTTTCGTCAAAAGCAAAGCAAATGAGCAAGCTGTAAAAAGATACTAATAACTCCACATGCCCCAAAATTGACGAGCGCCTGATTCCACCGTGTCATGACACAATGTCTTTTTCTTGGAGATTTTATCTAGTAAAACAAATAAGAGCAATGAAGGAAAAAAGGGCTCTCATGGTGTACTCACCTCTCATTCAATAGGTCCCCGGTCTTTAGTTTAGTATGGGGTTTTACGGCCCCCGCAACTGCATAAGATCATATGAGCGCGTGAAACACAAGTTGGTTACATTCGCAACAGTTCACTGCACTGCTGGTCAACTACCTGACTTTAAAATGTTAAAATATTAAAATTCGTTGTTAATATATTTTCAATATAAAACAACTTTTTTAAATAACTTAAAAATTTTTAACAATTTTGTTTCATTTTATAATTTCCCATTAAAGGCCAATAGCCTTCATAAAATCCAAAATTCTGTTGGGAACTACGACGGAAAACAGATCTTGCAATTTTTTGCATCTAAGATATTTCCTTCGGGTCTCTCTGAAGTTTAGACATTCGGTCAAAATGTGTCTAATGGTAAAATTTGTGTCACATCCGACTCAGAACGGCTTCTCATCTCCCTGAAGGAGGTATTTATGTGTCAGGGCCTTTGTGTCCAATGCGCAATCGAGTAAAAATGACTTCATCTCTTCTGAAGAGGCCTGAAGGATTTCGTGGTCCCAGTTTGGGTTTAAAGTTGTGAAGTTTATTTATTTATTTGTTTTTTCCAGTGTGTCGCCCACAGACTGGAGGTGGTCCCCGGTCTGAAACCTGACAGTTGACAGCAACAGAAAATTTTCTTCTCTAAAATTCTCTCCTTCCACCTCCTTTCCTTCTCTTTAACCATTTTCTTACGTCTGTGTCTCCAATTTCTGGACCCCAACCCCCTTTTGCCTCCTCCTCTGGGCTCCTGACTTTTTCTGAAGCCTTTCTACAGCCTCTCCTGGGCTCCTTATTACTGCTATCTTTTAGCCACACCTCTGATCTTAGGATAGGTAAGATCTAACACCTAGCCTTCTCGGATACGGGCGAAAAATCTCGGAGGTCCCATGTGCAAGTTGCACTTGTTTATTTAAGGTCCCTTGGCTGTCCAATTTCCCAAATTAATAAGAGTAGGCTTCGGCCGCCACCTGGGCAAAATTCAAAGTTAATTCCTACCAAACTAAAATTGTTTTGTGTCCCTTACACTCAAATGACCTTTTGCAGTTGAAAGCACCCTAAAACACTTACCAAAATAAACAAAACAAGAGAACACTCTAGAGGTCACATACCCCAGTGATATCACCACAGACGCACACCAATGCACAAGTTCATGTGCATTATTCCACAGCATGAGTTGCACTCCTTGCGGTTGTGAAACGGGACTATTATTATTACTATTTTTACTAATTCATCTAGTTCGCACAAAGCAAAATGCGGAAATCTTTTCATTATGTATGATGAATTTCGCTGTGTAATTCATTTTTAACAAAGAAATACAGCCGGGCAGAGATAACTCAAACAAGTAGGGGATTGACGTATTAAAAATTACTGTGTTTGACACATCCTTTTTTTGGGTAAACCGATAGCAAAAAAATAAAGAGATATCAGTCAGGGAATGGCAGAGTGTGAAAAGTACCCATAACTTTGATCTGTATTCAAGTTATCTGAGCCTGACTGTACAAAGAAATTCATCTGTTTACTGTTTGTTTGTTTTAGTAAGGTTTTACTGCGCTCGCAACTGCGTAAGGTCATATGAGCGCCAAGGGGTGGATGTCAACAGAGAAATCCAAACCAGGAATCAGGCTTACCCTGCTCACCTCTCTAGCCTCAACAGCACAAAGTCTGCTTCGACTATAAAGGCACCCGCGATATAGTTAACTTTAAGAGAGCGACAAACTTACAAAAGAAGTAGAGGAAAAAAAACCAACACGATAGTAAAAATGAGGAAAGAAAAACGCATCAGTAAGACAAAATCAAAAGTTAAAATCTAATTGCTAGGTGCCCGTTTGCTATATACGTGAGCAAGATACACATAATATGTGTCTGTTCTTTATGTGTGCATGTTTCATAAGGCATAAGGTGCCTGTTCACTATGTGCATGTTTTGTGAGGTGCTTGTTTGCTATGTGCGTTTTCCGTAGATACCTGTTTGCTCTGCGCATAGAAGGATGTATTTCCCCTGATATACTTGGGTACATAATTATGAGAGTGAGAGGTTATTTGGGTATAAAAATGATAAAGACATAAAACCACAAACAAAAAAAGTTTCTCAAGTTCTTTTGATGACACAGCAACATCACTCAACAAAAAAACCCAGTCAAATGCGATAAACTTTTAATGCCACAACACAACAGCCATTTTTCTACAGGCAACACACATATTCGTAAGTGTTAATAGAAAGGCACCAAGGTCTGGCATTCTGTGAACCTGAACTTGAAAAGTAAAAATCACAGTCAACTTGATAAATTTATTTAAGCATTTAAGACCTAGAAGAAGAACAAGTGAACCTGCTCTTGGCCACCTGTACAAACGACCATAAATTATAAATATATTAACACTGCCCAAGATTCCACCTGTCTATCGCAATCATTTTTCTCTTAGACTTAAACAATACATAGCCTCAGAACTATTTTGTCCAAAGTGCCTCTTTACTCAAGTACACTTTAAACTTTAAACAAAAACAAAGAATAATATTTAAAATCTGCATCATGTGTTTCAAATGTGTCAATAAAACTGCTCCTTTTTATCTACACGAACTTATCAGTATATATAAGTCAGGGAGAAACCTAAGATCATCAAACGATAACACCCTACTTGTGACACCTGTAAAATCATACAAATCCTATGGAGAGAGATCTTTCTCATATCTTGGTCCATTTATGTGGAACAGATTACCCATTAAAATAAAAACACTTGATAGCTTCAAAAGACATCAACATTTTCTGTTCCTACAGGCTTATCCTTCATAAGCTTTTAACGTTATTTTTCATTTTAGTTGTTCTGTTCCTATGTCTGGATGAAAATAGTCTGTGTGTGTGTGTGTGTGATGAAAATAGTCTCCGAGTGTGTTTGTGTGTGTGTGATGAAAATAGTCTGTGTGTGTGTGCGATGAAAATAGTCTCTGTGTGTGAGTGTGTGCGCATTAATGTATATTGCATGAGAAGAAAGGAAGTAGTAAGAAAGGTTTTTGAATTCCAATGTAAAGCGCATTGAGCTACTTTTTTGGAAATGTGCTATATAAATGTTATGTATTATTATTATTTTATTATTAAACAAAATAGTTCTGAGGCGATGAATGGGTGACCATCTTAGATCATTTCGACTGTACATGTACTTATATGTACGCACCTTTTCCTCCATGCCCAAGACAACAGACACGCCCTTGTCAGTACACGGTCAATGACACATGGTGCCAACATTACATGGGAATTACACACTCACTTTTCTTCTACACAATAAGGCTATTATTGTGTTCACAAACTCTCTTTTGCACTTACACAAGACTCTAACTGAACACATTTCACTACAGTGGCATTGACCCTCACAGACACTCTAGTAGTAGGCCTTCTTTCCTTTCATACATGTTTAACAGAAGAGTACAATTCAATAACATACAAAAAATACATAGCACCTACACACACAAATTATAATACATAGGACTGTCAGTCAACCTGGAGGTCTGAAGTTCAATACCCTCCAGTTTATTTCTTTTCTCAAGATTTCTACACCCCCTCGATCCTAGAGTGGGTAGGATTGAGCACCAAGTCATCTCACATAAGGATTTACACTTTCCGAGTTGCCAGGTTGGATTTCAAACATTAAAGATACCTTTGCAGTACTAATACTATACCGCTGTCCAGGCAAAATTCAAAATTAATTCCCTATACGAAACTGATGCCACTCTTAGCAGAGTACCACACAGTTGCATGACAGGCAGGGGCTGATTCTATGTTCATGTAGATGAATCACCTTGTGCTGAGGCTCAGCCCAGAATTTTAAAAAAATAACACACACAGCAGCAACGCCTCGGCTGCCACTGCCCTAAGCGGACAAAATGCCTTAAAAAAAAATTCACAGCAGTTTGGAGAAAAAGACTTTTTTTTTTGGTTAGCATAACGATGTTCTTCCGAAATTTGAACTCGCATTTATTCAAAAACAGTTTCACTTTGGTTTTTTCACAATATTTGGGTAACTGATTAGGCTTTCGATTTAGCAAATAAAAAAATTTGACGCCAACATGAGAAAAAAAAAAGGCGTTTTGTCTGCTCAAGGCAGTAGGGAAATGTCAATTTTTGGATGGTTAATTTACAGTCCACAAGCAGTAGAGGTTTCTCTTAAGCAAAATTTTTATGTAACATGAAACCGGCAATGTAGTATCAAATGAAGGACAAAATTGACGCTGATAACAAATCAGAAGTCAAATAAGCATATTTTTTAAAAAGGGGAATTCTTTTCACCCCAAAACTTCACTCTATAGCACTAGCAGGCTGACATAAAAATATTTGGCACAGTCTTAATTTCCGAATTTGTGAGGACCTCAAGCAATTTTGGCTACATGTGGCGATTTCAGCTACACATGTGGCAATTTTTTTTTTGAG